CCTGTCATATTTAGAAAAAAGTATGAGTTATAGGTCTACTAAAACACGCATCCATTTTTAAATTCACTGTATTTTATTGCGATGTGCTTTTTATGTTTTTTATTCTTTTGTTTGTTTTTTGTTGTTGGTTTGTTTTGGGGTTTTTTGGGGTTGTTTTTTTTTTTGGGGGGGGGGGTACATATAGTTGTAGATATAAATTTCACGTATTGAATTCGACCAGGAGTGAGAATTCCCTTCGACCATATGCACCTCTTTTCCTGGGCGTTTTCAGGATTTTGCTACAGCCGTTTTTCCACAGAATATTGATTTGGCCTAAACCGGGGGGGGGGGGGGGGAGAGCCCTGATGCTGAATAAACCTGGTTTGCAAAGTGGATTGCATATAACTAGCTAGTCAAAATGCCCTTATTGATCCTTTTCGGAAGTCATTTTGACTTCGAAAAAATGGCAGATAAACTATCTATGTCTAGTTGTTTGGTAATTTATTGTTATATGAATGATAAAAGAGGTGATCTAATGAATCTACTAGGTGATTGATTTAACCACTGGAGAAGCTCTTGGCGAGAATGAAAGAGGTGAACTATATATCCGTGGACCTCAAGTAATGAAAGGTGACTATGAGGGAATAATTGTGATTATTATAGTCCTGACCAAAGACGCCCTGTTACGCACCATCTGATTTTGTAGATTCAATAACCCAATTAACCTTAGAATTCCTTACGTGATGTCACTGTCAAACAATGAATATTTGACCCACATGTATCCCACATTGCGTTGCGCATACCTAATGTTTAGATGGATTGAAACTTGCGTGAAGTGCTTACCCCAGAGTCAAATCCAAATGACGCATTCTTTGACGTGATAAATTCCAGTTGTATCGTAAAATGTCTGCTGTAGTTGAGATTGGAAGCATTAAAATGTACATGTCATATGGGTGCGTTCCTTTAGTGCAATCCGGATTTGGATCTTCAAATCCGATTATCGATTTTCAGTTTCGTTTAACAAAATCTTAAAATAGATTCGTATCTGATGAATCCACCTCAACATATGGATTTTTCGGATTCAATCTGAAACTTGATTAGGATGCAACGTTCTTTTTGGGCTTCTGGCCTTCTAGCATGCAGCTTGACCCGACCGAAAGGTATAGTGGGACAGAAAACTTATTGTAAAAGTGGCGGGAAAACAGCAGGCGAATTCCGATTCCCACAATTCGTTCCATTTGTTTAACGAATCCGCAAAATCCGAATCCTAAAAATCCAAATTTAGATTCACAAAAGAAAAGCTCCTTATTCAACTGCTCAATCATATTGGTGCTTCGCTTATCGCCACAATAGAACTGTCAGTTAAATCATTCTTGAACTTGCATATTGTGTCTTCTGTGTAAAGCAAAATAAAGAAAGGTACATTGAATTTAAGAGAATATATTGACCCTGACCCTGGGTACGATGTCGATTTAATCCTTGTTGAATTAGCCACGATAGTGATCAAATTAATTAACCAACACTGTGGTCAAATTAACCATAAGTAACCCCATATTTAACAAAGAACATTTTAATCTACTTAAAACTACTAGTGTTAATTTTACATGTACTTAAAAGTACTAGTGTTAATTTTACATCCACTTAAAAATACTAGTGTTAATTTTACATGTACTTAAAAGTACTAGTGTTAATTTTACATCTACTTAAAAGTACTAGTGTTAATTTTACATCTACTTGAAAGTACTAATGTTAATTTTACATCTACTTAAAACTACTGGTGTTAATTTTACATCTGCTTAAAACTACTAGTGTTAATTTTACATCTACTTAAAAGTACTAGTGTTAATTTTACATCTACTTCAAAGTACTAGTGTTAATTTTACATCTACTTAAAACTACTAGTGTTAATTTTACATCTACTTAAAAGTACTAGTGTTAATTTTACATCTACTTACTGTCGTTCCAATTGAAGTTTTGCTCAAATATTGATTCAATACATTACCTCGGGCTGACCAATTCATTTCATCAAGTTCCTTGAGATATTCATACACTTCCTAGTATAATTGTAAACTTCCTGTTGAATAGTTTGAATGCACCAATCACCTTTGTTGTTTGTGCAACT